GGCTGACCTCTCCATTGAACTCAAACTGAAGGATAACTCTTTTCCCTCAACTGAGGAACTTGCCGCGCTAAAATAGCCACCGGCTCGTCCTCTTAAGTCAAATCCTTCTCCAACTGGACTGAACTGAAATCTAGCAAATGGGACAGATCACCGTGATACTTTCGGAGCATGGAAACATGGAACATTGAATGGATTGCTGACAGACTAGGTAGCAATGCGAGCTTGTAAGCCACCTCACCCACTCTCTAAAGAATCTTAAAATGACTGATATACCTAGTGCTCAAATAGCCTTTCTTTTCGAACCTCATCACACCCTTCATGGGTGAAACCCGGAGCAATACCCTCTCTCCGACCATGAATACAACATAACGAACTCTACGTTCGTGATAACTCTTCTGCCTAGACTGAGCTGTGCGAAGTCAATCCTGAATAATCTTGACCTTATCCAAGGCATCTTGTACCAAACCTGTACCCAACAACCGAGCCTCTCCCGGCTCGAACTATCGAACTGGTGATCGGCAAAGCCACCCATATAATGCCTTATAGGGAGCCATCTGAATGCTCGACTGGTGGCTGTTGTTGTAGGCATACTCCACAAGTGGCAAGAACTGATCCCACAAACCTCTCGAAACCTATAACACAAGCGCGGAGCATATCCTCTAGTACCTAAATAGTGCGCTCGGGCTATCTGTCGGTATGAGGATTAAATGTTATGCTCAACTCAACCTGCGTGCTCAACTCACGTTGTACTACCCTTCAGAAGTGCGAGGTGTACTGCATACCTCGATCAGAAATGATAGACACTGGCACACCGTGAAGATGGACGATCTCGTGGATGTAGATCTCAGCTAACCGCTCAGAAGAATAGGTAACTGCCACAGGAATGAAATGCGCTGACTTGATCACCTTGTCCACAATGACCCATACCGCATCGAACTTTTTTCAAGTCTGTGGAAGCCCAATAATGAAATTCATAGTCATACACTCCCACATCCACTCAGGAATCTCTAACTTCTGAAGCAAACCACCTGCTCTGATGCTCATACTTTACTTGTGAAAATTTAGACACGGAGCTACATATGAAACTATATCCATCTTCATCCTCCTCCACTAATAATGTTGTCGCAAGTCCTGATACATTTTGGCGGCAGATGAATGAATAGAATACGGGGAACCGTGGGCCTCCTCAAGAATCAATTCACGAGGTCTGTCTACATTGGGCACACAAATACGACCTTGCATCCTAAAAACTCCGTCATCTCCAACAATAACCTACTTGGCACCACCGTGTCGCACTGTGTCCCTAAGGATAAGCAAATGAGGTTCATCATATTGTCGCTCCCTGATGCGCTCAAACAAGGAAGATTGAGGGACTGTACAAGCTAGAACACGACTGGACTTTGAAACATCCAGCCTCGCAAACTGATTGGCCAAAACCTGAATATCTGATGCAAGCGGTCTCTCACCAACTGGAATGTATGCAGGGCTGCCCAAACTCACTGTATTTCTACTCAAGGCATCGGCCACCACGTTGGCCTTTCCGTAATGATATAAGATAGTGATATCACAGTCTTTCAATAGCTTCAACCACCTCATATGCCCAAATTGAGATCCCTTTGTTTGAACAAGTACTGCAAGCTTCGATGATCCGTGAATACCTCACACGACTCGCCATAAATATAGTGTCTCCAAATCTTAAGCGCATGAACAATGGACGCCAACTATAAGTCATGAACAGGGTAATTCTTCTCATGAATCTTGTTTTTTCAATAAACATTCATAATGTTGGTATAAGTTCCAAAGGGATTGAAGTGTCACACATAATTTCGTACATCTATTATTAATGGTTAGCAAATAGACATGTTTCTAACATTCGAGATAAAAAACCATTTATCATTGTACTACTGTCCTGTTCAATATTCCAAAAGACGTTGTAGGAAACACAATTTTTTACAAATTTGGGCACGTAGTCCGTCGATTTAATAAATAAAATAAAATAAAATGCTATTTTCTATATATTGTGTCGCATTACAGAAAAAAGGGCATTCTTAATAGTGTCATAATATAAGAAAAGTGTATATAATAACTAAAATAGTTGATGAGCTTTTCATTGCTTTGGTTATAAAACTTTGATGGTGCAAGACTTTACACTTTTTGTTGGTTCTCTTTATAACAAAGTTAATATGAGTGTGCTTGCTTGCTATTTCTTTCATAGTGTCTTATTATTGAGTTTTTGTTTCTTTTTGGGCCTCAAGGAGCAAGAAAGTAGAAGAGATTTTTTTCCTTCCTATACCATATATGAAACTTTATTATCCAAAATGTGCACAGTTTCTAATTTACCCGCCCTGTCCATATTTTTTCTACAGTTATTATACCAATCATTAAATACTAATTAATAGTAGCTGAATCTTCCTAATTTTTCGAGCTAAAATTCAGGAAAAGAATATTCTTAAAATATCTGACATAAATCAGATCAAATCATATCACGAAAATCCTTTATCTTCAACTTATAATCAAATTTTGTTCTTCGATATTCTCACATTCTCAGTTCATCGAAATCAGAAATCAGAAGCTCAAATTCTCAGTTCGTCGAAATCAGAAGCTCAATTTCAACTTGTAGAAATCAGTTCTACAAATCTCTGAAGCTCTGTTCTTCGTCTTTTTCTGTCAAATTCTGTTCTTCGTCTTTTTCTGTCAATCCAAAAAATCAAAAAAGCGACAAAATATTGAAGAATACCTCAGCAACGACACGCAATCATGTCCAAAATCCCAATCATGCTACATTTTAATGTCAATTGGGATAGCTATGGCAGATTTAGAGATTTTCAAGTTGATGGCACTGTGCAGGATGAGGATGCAAGTTACAGTGTGTTGATTTCTACAATTGCATAGCAATTAATTATTGATACTTCGGAAAAAATTATAGAAATCAAATACATTGTGAATAAGAATTGTCCTCCAATGGAGATTAGGAACAATATGGGGGTTAGTGTGTATATGGAGACAAAAAAGGAGAATAAAAACTTAGGATCGTATCTGTTACTCATAATGTACGAGATTTCAATATGGAATTGGCTATTACAAATGAGAACACAAGTGCAGGTTTGTTATGTTTCAAATGCTATGGAAGTCTGTTTTTACGATAATATCTACAAAATTCCTACATTTATCTACAAATAAACTACAAATTAATTTTAGGATGTATAAAGCAATATTGTTTTCATGCTTATCAACACCATTACTACATTTATACTAGGCAGAATGGCCTAAGTGGCACCTATACTTGTGTCACTTTGTCATGCCGGTCCTCCTACTTTACTTTTTTTTATCCAGACACTTCAACTTGTTCAAAATCTATATTTTAAACCCCTCTGACCGTGTGTGTATCTCACTTGCTTGACGTGGATGACACATCATATTCCATGTTATTTTTTATATTTTATCTACTAAAAACACTTATTATATACTATTTCCTTAAAGAAAAAGAAAAAGAAAATCAATACCTCAACCTCATCTCTCTTCCCTCAAATTCACAGAGTTCTTCTTCCTTGTCCATCTCATACCCCTTCTCCATTCGCAACCAGAAGGTGGAGGGGAGAAAGAAGAAGCTGTGGAAGGGAGAAGCGTACATCACCAAATAGTTTTCAGAAAATAGTTGCCTAAAAAAAACCTTCCAACATCATAAATTCTTCATGAAATCTATCAACCTAGACATTACAATTCGAATTGTAAATTGAATCATGAAGCAACTTTAACTTAGGATAGGACCCACAAAACTACCAATAAATAGAACTAGTAAACGTCAATAGTGCTTGACAGTAACATGAAGCTTAAGAATGGCTCTGAGATTAGGAATATCAATAAAGTGAGTTGTCATAATGCCATAACCTTTAACAAATCATAAAAAAACCAGTCCCTGAAACAATTGAGATTTCCCTCTCCTTCATTGCAAAAAGATCAGCACCTTGAATCTCCAAAGTACTCCCTTTGAATTCTCCATCAGTGAAAATAACAGAAAACATCAAGTGCAGTCCCTTATCATCTAACTGTGAATTTATGTACATGCCTTGCGCTCTACCAATCTCTTTGGACTTTGGATCTGGACCTTCAGTTACTGGATCATCCACTGCAACCATTGTTGCATCCCTATGCAAAATGCAACTTCTTTGAAAAAGAAGAAGCAAGTATAAATTCCAGAGCATATCAGCGATGAAAAGTAGGAGGGGAGAAGCGTACGGGGGGAACGAAAAGGGAGGAGTTTTTGTGTGGGTGTGGGGGGGGGGGGCGTGGACGAGAGCGTACTGGGGAACAAAGGGAGGAGAGTGTTGTTGGGGGGGGGGGGGAGTACAGTGGGAGTGTTGTTGGGGGGGGGGGGGAGTACAGTGTGGAAGAAGAAGAAGAAGCGTGGGGGGAGGGGGGAGGGGGGGAGGGAGGAACAAAAAGAGACATATATCTTTTGTTTTTTTCTTTTCTTTTTTACTTATTTTAATGACTTTTTTTCTTATTTTAATAATTTCTTGTTCAAATGTTCATATTCACGCTCATTATTCGCGTGAATTACACTCACTTTGTCCAGCTCAACCATTATTTTGTCACATGTGCTTGGTCAATGGTCAGAGGGGTTTAAAATATAGATTTTGAACAAGTTGAAGTGTCTGGATGAAAAAAAGTAAAGTAGAAGGACCGGCATGACAAAGTGGCACAAATATAGGTGCCATTTAGGCCATTCTGCCTTTATACTACAATTAAGCTACAATCCATGTTGAAAAAAAATTGACTACAGAATTTTCTATTCATCTACAATTTATCTAAAAAGATTCTACAAAACTGTAATGACACTGTTTATCTTTATTTTCATGCAGGTTTGTCTAGGACAATACAGTTACTTGATATGCCAGCCTCTCCTGTAATAGAGGAATATCAAAGTGAAATAATAACTGAAGATACACAAAGTATTATCGAAGAAGGACAAGTGTATCAAGACAACATTTGCAACTGCAATGAGGCACTATTCTGTCATGCACAAGTTCCAATTTAGGGTTAAAAGATCTAGCCATAGAAGGTATGAAGATATTAATTGTGACAAGACCTTTATAAACAGTATTTTGCTTGTGATATGTAGATGAAAAGTAGTTATATTGTATAGTGTGTTACTTTATGTTAAAGCAATCCTTTTGTTAAATCTACATTGATAACCTATATTATAAATGTATTTTTTTTGTAGCTACTGGCTTATATGCGTTGCAGAAAACTGTAATTGGCACTTCAAGGAAACATCAATTAATGATTCTGCAATGTTCAAGATCAGGAGTTTCAATCGACAACACATATGCACCTCATTGGACGATACATTCATACAGCGCAAACGTACTGCAGTTGTAGTTGGTAGCATGGTCATGCCAAAGTATTATGATCCTAAGACAGTTTACACAGCGAAGGACATACAAACAGACATGGTGTCCCAACACGGAGTGAACCTAAGCTACATGCAAGCATGGAGGGCAAAGGAAAAGGCTTTACAGTTATTGAGAGGTCATCCGGCTGACTCCTACAGCAAATTACCAAAATATTTTTATATTCTTAAGAAGACGTATCCTGGTTCAGTTGTTAAATTGAAGAAGACAACAGATGAGTGCTTCTTATATGCATTTGTTGCTCTTTGTACATCAATAAGTGGTTGGGAATATTGTAGACCAGTAGTCGTGGTTGATGGGACATTCTTAAAGACAGCCTACAGGGGAATTATGCTAACAGCAAGCACAATGGATACAACAGGTAAAATTGTAGTTATTTTGTAGGCAGTTTATAAATTGTATATACATTGTAGATTCTTTGTAAATATATTGTAGTTTATATGTATTTGTGTTTTTATATGCATTTTCAAAGCTGCCAGTTAATTATTTTTTTACTAATAATGTAGGTACAATATTGCCTTTGGCATATGCTGTGGTTGATTCGGAAAACGACGCATCGTGGAAGTGGTTTTTTGAGCAATTCAAGCAAGCATATGGTGAAAGAACTTCAATGTGTGTTGTTTCAGATAGGAATGAGAGTATCCTGAAGGCAACATCAATTGTCCATCCGGGCGTGCCACACTACTCTTGCGTGTGGCATATTTGGACAAATATAAGGGCAAAGTTCAATAAGGGTCATACACTCTTGATGAATTTAATGAAAGGATGTCGAAGATTGAAGAGATAGACCCTCGTGTTAAATCATACTTCTATGATATTAGCTATCACAGATGGTCAAGAGTACATACAACGGTGAATAGAACTTGGACTATGACATCAAACATTGCAGAGTCGTTGAATGCTGTAACAAAATATGCAAGAGAGCTGCCAATATTTGACCTATTAGAGTATATGAGGACACTTCTTGAACATTAGACGAAAGAGAAGTTGTTGAAGGCAAAGGGTACTTTCACATACCTTGGGTACAAATTCAATAAAGAATTGGAGAAAAATAGTACATTATCTCAGAAACATAGGGTAAGATCTGTTTATTTTGTGCAAAAAAATAATATTTTAATATACAGCGTTTCCAGATTGTAGATAAATTGTAGACAAGTTGTAGTTAATTTGTAGATGGTAGAACATTTGTAGATAAATTGAAGATAAGTTGTAGATAAATTGTTGATAATCTATTTTTATGATTGTAAATATTTTTCTTTCTATTTGTTATGTAATTGTAGGTGAGGGCTTCAACAGGTCATATCCATACTGTGATAGATGGTGTAAAGCGGTACATTGTGTGTCTTGAAAGCAAAAAATGTACTTGTGGCCAGTTCCAACTTGATGAACTTCCATGTGCGCATGCTTTGGCAGCTTTAAGGGACAAGAATAAAGGATACGAAAACTATTGCTCTCTGTATTACACAAGGGAGAGCCTACTGCGTACATATGAAATACCAGTAAATCCCCTTCCTGATGAAAGCAAATGGAGTGTGCCACAACATATATCTAATGAAGTAGTAAATCCACCTACGGGAGAGAAAAAGCAGCCAGGAAGACCTTAAAAGGAAAGATACAAAACATATGATGAACTAAAGTCAAAGAAGTACAAGGTGTCATGTGGAAACTGTGGAGGTGAAGGGCATAACAAAAGATCTTGCAAGAATGCACCCAAAAAAAATCATGTAGTTAGGATAGTATTTCAAAATAATTGTTAATGTGTTCAAGTTAACAGAATTTTGTGTGTAATCGTTTAAGATTTTAAAGATTAAAAATGTAGTTAACTTCAATTTGTTTCTGTGTTTGTTAACATGTTTTTCTGTATTGTGGCAAGCATCTACCTCCATTTTTTACATTATGTACATAGCACTTAATATTTATTATCTACAATATAACTACAAGTTTAAAAAAATTAATTTAACTTGAACTGGCAGTTATATACAGAAATTAAATACAACTGGAGGTAAATCCCTACAAATTATATACATATTCAACTATAAAATTATATACAATCTTAACATTCAATGTTTCCAGATTGTAGATAATTTGAAGTTTTTATGTAGATAATTTGTATTCTGACAACATAATAACTACAATTAAGATAATGAAGAACAAGTACAGTAAATATTAAACAACTGGAGATAAAACCACCAAGTTATTTTCAAGTGAACTACTAAAATGGATAGAAATTAACTAAACAAAAGGTCTGCTACAATAAAAACACAAAGGAATTGTTCAGAAAGTTGTGTACTATACTTATCCTACAAACTAGCATCAACTAAATTACATATGCATGACACTACTTCTTCTTTCTCTGTACTCTTGTTTTCTCATTCAATGCAGGTGCACCCTTCCTCCTTGCTAGTCTACCTGTAACCTCACTTTCACTGATTGACCCATCTTCCTGCTTTTTTGTAGCATAATCCCATAGGAGCGCTCCATAGTGTCTACGATGTTGGTCAATATCAGAAAGGTCTTCTGCGGGAATTGACAAATCTCCAAGGCTAACATACTCCGCAAAGGCAGCAACAAATACACCACAATCGCTGCAGAATACAAAATTTAAAAAATATTTACCAAATGATTAGAAATAAAAAAAGAATTAAATGCATAGAAAGAGAGAATAGATTTTTTACGGTGATCCTTCTTTTTGTTGTGGAATCTCTCCAACGAGCCACTGAATGTTAAGAGGATCGGTAACTGATTTTTCAATGTATGACTTTGTTGTCTTGAAGTTAAAGTCTTTACGCTTCCCATAGAAACCAGTGCATGATAAATACAAAGGGATAATAACAGAAAACTTATCAACCCAGGATTCAACAACTTGATGGTTGTGTGAAGAGACCATGGAATCATACGCATAAAGTTGCCTGTCTGTAATATCGAAAACAACCAACACCCAATGGAATTTTTCTACAATATTGACGGGCATGATCACATAGCCAACTTCATCCCTTGCAACATTGGCAAGTACTCTATACCCTAAAATATATTCTGCAACAACATCTTGGGGTTTAACAACAGAATACCTCTTTTCTGGAGGTGAATTTATGAACTTTTCATAAAAAATTTCTATCCTGGCCTTGAACACACAATCCGTTGTGGTAAACCTGGTATTTTTATTGGGGCCATACTTGCCTCTTTTCCTCAAGTAATACATTAAAACACTAATGTGCTGCAACCAAAAATAATTGGCATATAAACAGCAAGTCAACTTCAAATAATCTACATATAACTACATTATAACTACAGTTAACTACAAAACAGAAACAAAAAAATATAAAATGATGTCTAAGAACAGTTCTACAATTTAAACTACAAAACAGCATTTAGAATTATGTCTACATCATATCTACAATTTATACTACAAGTCATCTTTATATATTATAGATATCTATAAAATAAATACAGTTAAACTACAAAACAGAAGACAAGATATCTACAAATCATGTATTGGAAATAGACTACGTGATACTTACCGAGTCATTGAGGACTTGACAGTGGTAGCCAGGGAATAGAACCATTCCTTCTTATCTTTTCCACTCCAAGGTCTAACCAAGGCTTAATTTGGTTATCCTTTATGGAAAACGGAGCCTTCCTCCTGTGACAACAAATAAATGACAAAAAAAAAATAGTAGATTGAATTAGATATGTAAAAAATAAATGCTGAAAAGCAATTGTTAAATTATGCATTCATACCTCTTTGAACCTTTGTCAATAGAGTGGCATAACCACTTGATGAAGTTCTGTAGAACATCCGAATCTACATTTTCACCAATAACAGTAGTAAAAGGGTGCTTTAGGCAGAAATTTTTAGGTCCAACAGAGCTGCTGCCCCCAGAACTGTATAGAGGGATAAATGGTGATCGGGCATGCTTTCCCGGATGCCTTGTTCTCCCCAAATGCATAGGTGTTGCATTTTCATGTATGGGCTCGCCAAACATAACCAACTGGGATAAGTTGTCAGGAAAATCAAAATAATCTAGTGTGACCCCATTCTTCTCAACTCCTGATCCTTCTGAATCACCTAAATCAACATACTCTACATCTGCACCTTCATTGTCATCTTCCCCGATGTCCTGCTCGGTCTGAGCTGCTACTGTCACTCCGTGAATTGGGGACTGTGCATTGATATCTTCCATCACTGTAACACAATTCTTATCTTACTTAACAAGAAAGTTGAAATTTATAAACAACAAGAAAATATCTCTGAATGACAGTACGATACCTGCTTTGTCTTCATCAGCTGCAACTTGAAAAAGTGTATTTCCATCGCCATGTGATGGAAGATTTTCTTGACCAACTGCACCTTGAACATGTTCTGTTTTATAATTGAAAATGGTAAATAATACTGGATAATGGTGGATTGAAATTTGTAGCATATAAACTATTTAAATTGTAGATAATTTGTGGATAAGTGTAGATATTTTGTAAATTCACTGACACAAATTATAGATACTTTGTAGGTATTTTGTAGATACCTGTTTTGGTGGTGCTGGCCTGCACTTGTTCCCCAATACTGAACTGAAAATGCTCATTGTTAAAGTCTTTTTGTTGGTCATTGTTTTTTGTTAAACTGCCAGCAAACTGAATATTCTATGTTAGCTTGTATATATTTTTTCGTATGTCTAAATTGTTTTGCTATAAAAATAAAAGTCAGATCTTACCTTTGCATCATCTTGCACATTTCTACTGTTTATCATTTGCAAAATAGTCTGCACAGACTCATATATAAACACTCGAAGGCTATCGAGTTCTACAAAGACAGCTTTCCTAAAATCTTCAAGCTTTCTATTAACGTAAAGTTACAATATAGTAAGTTGTTAACTTCATAATTTTTCCTAACATACAATGCAAAAACATATGCAATTATGTAAAGATATATATCAGAATTTATAAATTTGTAGATATTTGGTAGACAGTTTATGAAATGTAGATATATTGTAGATAAAATATAGATATATTGTAGTTTATATGTATTACCTGCTCAATTCCTTTTTCTACTTTACTGATCTTCTCAGCAATAGACTCCTTGTCCTCTTCTCCATCTGTTTGTTTGGGTTCCAATGTAGGAGGATCAGCATTGGGAACCTCAGATGTTTGTTCACCTTCTTAAACTTTGTACTCAAAATTGTCGGGCAAAATCAACACTCCAATCTCTTCTCCAGATTCAACTATGTTGGTAAACTGTATGAGGAAAAATAAATTAGTTTGATCAAGGCAGAAAATGTAGAATACTTGTAGATATGTTGAAGGTAAATGTATAATCATAATAAAAGAAAGTATACCTTTATCCACTCAGGCTTTATCATCTTCTCTTCAAAGGCAGCTAACCAAATCAGCCCCTTAGTAGCTGACTATCTTAGTATGCGAGGTATTGAGTTAGAACACCTCGTAGCTAGATCAGTGCTGATAGTAGAGCAATACTCATAAAGCCATACTTGCAATGCTAGTGAGCATCCCCGTATGAGATAAGAATGTACATACGGATTTAGTCTGTGCCTAACAGATTCCATCCTCTGGGTGAAAGATTTAATACACCATGGGTATGACTCATACTGCCCAGATTCTACCAAATAGAACCTAAAGTGATCTACAAAAGAAACATGATCTTTGTCCGAAGGACAAATGAAAAATTCTAAAAGATAAAGGATGCACAACTTCACCGCATCCTCGTCGTTTACCCCGGATCTAGTCGTTACTATCTGTTTCAAATAAGACTTCTCCACTCATAATTTGTTAGGAAAATAACTGCTCATTATTTTTCTAACATAAGTGGGAGTATAACCAAAATCAGTAACCTGTGTAACACAACTTAGACCAGTAATTAATTCAAACTCACGCAATCCAAAATTTAATGTTTCACCCTTTAACTGTACAGAAAAATATGATTCATTGGATTTGGTCAATTCATACTTCATCAGAAGATGAATGAATTGGTTTTGCATGCATATGGTGGGAAGAGACAGTAAGTATCCAAAACACGTCTTTTTGAAAAGATTCAAACCATTTGAGGATAGAAGCTCTTTAATCTGGCTAGGAATGCTAGGATCACACAAAGTATGGAATCTAAGCACCCCATAATCAACATTATGTGGGGCAAAAAACTGTCCATTCTGCACAAATAATAAATTAATTCACATTAATAAAATACATAAAAAAGGATAAATTTATCTACATATTATCTACAATATAACTACAAATGATTATATAATATCTAAAATTTAAAGCATTTTCTACAAAAAGGAAGCAACAACAGATAACTACAATTCTGCTTCAAATAGTTGTAGTTACCTAACAGTATAACTACAAAAAACTACAAAATATCTAAAATTATAAAGGCAGAACATCACAACTACAAATAATCTTCAAAATTAAGACAATTAATATACACTTGTCTAAAACACGTATAACACAGATTTTACCATCCTAAACCAAACAAAAAAAATTAGAAAAGAAACTAATAAATGTTTACCTTCGCCAATGATTGGTTCAGAATAATTTTAGGGTGTTTTTTTAAATGTTTCTTCATTTTTAGATTTTTCGAACCAGGAGACACCTTTGA